AAAAATATGTATTTTTATTGATTTCAGAGAGGAAGAGAGAGATAGAAACAACAGTGATGACAGAGAATCATTAATTGGCTGCCTCCTGCACACCCCCTATTGGGGATCAAATCTGCAACCCAGTCATATGTCCTGACCGGGAATCAAACTGTGACCTGGTTCATAGGTCGACACTCAACCACTGAGAGACACCGGCTCAACAAAATTACTTTTTAAATTGTGGAAAATATATAAGACCATAAAATGTACCATCTTAATCAGGTTAAGTATACAGTTCAGAGGCATCGAGTATTCTCATTGTTGTGCAACCATCACCACCATCTATTCCCAGCACTTTTCTCATCTTGTAAAATTGAAACTCTGCCCCCATCAAACACTAGCTCACCAGTGACTTCCCCCTCCTCCTAGTCCCGGGCCACTACCATTCTGCTTGTCTACTCTAGGGAGGACCTTATATGTAAATGGAATCATAGAGAATCTGTCCTTTTATCACTAGTTTATGTCACTTAGCATAATGTCCTCAAGGCTCATCCAGGTTGTGCTCTTGGGTTATTCTACCTTTGGGCTATCATGAATAGTGTGCTGTGAACACAAGTATATAAATATTAATAATTTTTAACAAGAGGCCTCACATTTTTACTTTGCCCTGAGCCCTGCAAATGACGCAGCGGTCCTGATTGCCAACTCCTCGAAGGCAAAAGCTTTGTCCTGTATTTTTCAGCCGCTCGGAGGACACCCAGTACATGAAGACAAACACAAGCAGCCTTCCTCTCTGCTCCACCTTAAGGGCTGTGTCAATCCCTCGCCTTATGGCTAACTCTAGTTAAGATTTCAAAATGGCCTTTTCATTGGGCACACAAGTGTAGAGGAATATGGAGATTTGCACAAAAGACACTTTGTGTCTCAGCACTGGCACCCACCAGTGAACCTGCCTGAGCCCCAGTATTCTGACCTGTAGAATGGGGTCGTGGGAGAAACTGTCAAAACTGGGGAGAGAACTAAGCAATAGATGTTAGGCTCCAGCGCCTCCTCCACCTCTGGATTATAACTCAGAGAAGTCAGGGACTCGGTATGAAACTTGAAAATAGATGTCAAGCCCCAGCCGGTTTGGCTCAGTGGATATAGCGTCGGCCTGCGGACTGAAGGGTCCCTGGTTCAATTCTGGTCAAGGGCACATGCCCGGGTTACGGGCTCGATCCCCAATAGGGGGTGTGCAGGAGGCAGCTTATCAATGATTCTCTCTCATCATTGATGTTTCTATCTCGCTCCCTCTCCTTTCCTCTCTGAAATCAATGAAAAAAATATATATATTAAAAATATATACATATTAAAAAACAGATGTCAAAATGCATACACCTCATACATTTTTTTTTTTACACACACATCTCATATGTGTGTGTTTTCTCCTCACCGGAGGATATGTTTTTTATTGATTTAGAGAGAAAGGGAGAGAGAGAGGAAAAAAAACACTGATGTGAGAGAGAAATATCAATCAGTTGCCTCCCATACACAACACTCCAACCAACTGAACCATCCAGCCAAGGCAGACATCTCATACATTTTTAAAACCTGTCTCCCCTTCTTACAAAAAAGCCTAGAGATTTGCAAAAGTGGAATTAATATTCTTTGAGTACTGGCCTCAGCTAAAGAGAACTCAGCTGGGTAATTTACTATCTCCTGCAGATATTACAAAGCTTTTGACAGACTGTGCTTTTCAGCGAAGGAAAGAAAATGTGGCCCTAACCGGTTTGGCTCAGTGGATAGAGCGTCGGCCTGCAGACTGAAGGGTCCCAGGTTCGATTCTGGTCAAGGGCATGTACCTTGGTTGCAGGCACATCCCCAGTAGGGGGTGTGCAGGAGGCAGCTGATCGATGTTTCTCTCTGGAAGTTAGAGTTTCTAACTCTCTATCTCTCTCCCTTCCTCTCTGTAAAAAAATCAATAAAATATATATATATTTTTTTAAAAAGTAAGAAAATGTGTCTCTGGCCATCTCAAGCATAACCTGATAGGCAAAGGCTGTCCCTTGCCGAGCTGGGAGGATAAATCAGGAGGGTTCTTGGCTTGGGAAAGCAGGTACAATGGACACCTTGCTGAGTCCACATTTTTCCTTTAATAGATAGCAAGGCCATTGGAGCAGCTCATTCTTTGTTTCAGAACTTTGGGGAATTCTGCTCCTTGGCAGAGGAGATCAGAAAAATGTGGCTGAATTGGTTTAATTTAATTAATTCTGCACAATTTACACAGGAAAAGCTATGAGAGATAAGGCACCCAGAGACTATGGAAATACACCCATAGAAGTTGGAATATATGCAAATGTCCATGAAAATCAAGCAGGTAAAATAGCTTTTGAGGTATTTTCATTGGTTTGGTTGGTTGGTTTTCATCTTATATTTTTAAGGTCATACAGACACACAGGTACAATGTTTCCTTCCCACTCCTGATGCCCAGTCCCACTTTCCAGGGACAATAACCAGTTTTTAAAATCTTTCTACAGATAGTCTATGCGTATGCTGACATCTAAACACATGGCAGAAATGGCAGCATGTCACAGAGAGGCTATTCTACATCTTGATTTTTTTTCCACTTAACAATATACCTCAGAAATTTTTTTATATCAGTTTGGAATGATCTTCACTGTGCCCCAAATCCCTTTATGATCACTTTTTATGATCACATCAAGGATGAGAAAGAATCATTGATTGGCTGCCTTCTGCACGCCCCACACTGGGGATTGAGCCTGCAACCCAGGCAGGTGCCCAAACCGGGAATCAAACCATTACCTCCTGTTTCACAGGTCAATGCTCAACCACTGAGCCACGTGGCTAGGCACCTTTTTTTTAAAATTGATTTTAGAGAGAGAGGAAGGGAGAGGGAGAGAGATAGAAACATTGATTTGCTGCCTCCTGTAGGCCCCCTACTGGAAACTTAGCCCTGACCTGGAATTGAACTGGTACCTCTTGGTGCATGGGGCGATGGTCAACCAATTGAGCCACCACACTGACTGGGCTATGATCACCTCTTAAAGCAGCCATCATACACTGCTTTACGGTAAACAGACCCACAGCCTTGGCCAACAAGAACAAATCCAGTCAACACTGAGGGCCAGCCATGTTCCAGGCACAGTGCTAAGCAATGTACCTGCCCTGTGCAACATAAACAGCCCTAACTCCCAATTTATGTCGTTCCCATTTTACAGAGGAGTCTGTGCCAGGCTTGGAACCAAGACAGTGTGTGTCCACAGCCCAAGATGGTAAGCACTCTCTGCAAAGTCCAGAGGCTACATGCCATTGCGAGAGCAGCTAGCTGAGCCACTGCCCTCAAGTGACCAGAGATTCCATTTATAGGCCCAATAACTCTGTTTCTTGTCTTTTGCCCAGAAACTGAACATTCTCATGAGATGCATTATGCCACCCCCATGTTCCTGGAGGTGATACCAGGTGAGCCACAGTTTGGGATAAGAGATACTATTGAATGAGACAGTGGTCCCTGTGAGGCCACCATATTCCAGGACTCTAGGAGCCCAAAAACTGGGTAGATGGGGACCACATGCACACCCAGGAGACAAAGAGTAATCAGTATCACGGCTCCTAACAAGGAAGAGGGAACGATGGGACAGGGAGAGTATCACATAAAACATTGAGAGGAGGATGCAGGGGCACTTCCAACCCATTTTCAATAACAAATTACTTGAAAAAGGTTAAGGGATTAAGAAGTACAAATTGGTAGTTACAAAATAGTCATGGGGATGTAAAGTACAGCATAGAGAATAGAGATAGTAATATTATAATAACTATGTCTGGTGTCAGGTGGCTACTAGAAATATCAGGAGAACACGATGTAAAGTGTATGATTATCTAACCACTGTGCTATATACCTGAACCTAGTACAAAATAATATTAAATGTAAACTGTAATTGAAAAATAATTTTATTTTTAAATAAAAATTTACTTGATATAGTCTAGGAAAAAAAGTTAATACTTGTTTGTCATTTCACCTTGCTACTAAAATAAAAAAATTTAAGCCACTCTATGGGTATATATTCTAATTTTACTAAATCATTTCTTCTTTTATATTTCAGAAGCCCATAATGATAATAAAACTGGATGTGTCTATGCTGAACTCAGCTTATGAAATTTAAAGATACAAACTACATCTCAGGGTAAGATAATTCTTACAAAGCTGATTTACATGAAGAAAAAGCAAACTTGATTGACACTTTAAATATGTTTGTATTGATTTCAGAGAGGAAGGGAGAGGGAGACAGATATAGAAACATCAATGATGAGAGAGAATCATTGATCAGCTGCCTCCGCACTGGGGATTGAGCCCACAACCCAGGCATTTGCCCTGACCAGGAATTGAACCATGACCTCTAGTTAATAGGTTGATGTTCAACCACTGAGCGACACCGGCCGGGCTTGATTGACACTTTAAAACATCTCTCTTGCCCAGCTGGTGTGGCTCAGCAAATGAGCCTCCACCTATGAATCAGGAGGTCACGGTTTAATTCCAGTCAGGGCACATGACCAGGATGTGGGCTCGATCCCCAGTAGGGGGCATGTAGGAGGCAGCCAATTAATGATTCTCTCTCATTGATATTTCTACCTCTCCCTCTCCCTTCCTCTCTGAAATCAATTTTTTTAAAATGTCTCTCCTGGAGTATTATGCTAAGTGAAATAAGTCAGTCAGAGAAAGATATCCCATGATCTCACTCATATGTGGAATCTCAGTAACAAAATAAACTGATGAACGGAGTGGATCCAGAGACTCCAAGACTGGAACAGAGTATGGAATCTCGGAGGGGAGGTGGGGGAGGGGGAGTGGGTGGGAGGTAATCAACCAAGGACCCTGTATGCATGTAGGCATGGCCCATCGACCAAAAAAATGTCTCTCCTGGTTACCTACAGTGAATCACTGATTTTTATGATTAAACACTATCCCGTTGGCACATTCAGGTACTGCCAATCCTGTCATCAGACAAGAGCTTTGTCAGGTGGGATCCTGACTGGTGACAGTTCTTAAATGCTTTTGCTATTTTTAGGCATGAACCGTTCTCCCCATTTCCACATCACTTAAAAAAGAATAACTGTTAGGCCACTGTGCTTTTTGTAAATGCATCCTGAAAACTTTATGGTCATCTTTCTGGTTTTCCTGGCCCCATGCCCATTAAAGCAAAAACACAAAGGTCTGAATTCTAAAACAAAAAACAGTGACCTTGAAAATGTGTCTGAGGAAAACAGTGCCTGCAGTCACCATGAGAGGCAGGCAAGATTACTTAACAAGTACGCACTTGTTACTCACTGCCATTGAAACTTGTTCTCAAATTTTCAGAGGCTGCAAAAATTTTTATTTATATTTTTATTTATTTTAGAGAGGGAGAGATAGAAACATCAGTGATGAGAGAGAATCATTGATTAGCTGCCTCCTACATGTCCTTACTGGGGATTGAGCCCCCATCCGGGCATATGCCCTGAGCAAAATCAAACCGGTGACCTCTTGGTTCTTGGGTCAAGGCTCAACCGCTGAGCCATACCCGGTTAGGCTGCAAAAATATTTATATTGATTTTTCAGGGATTTTCTGTCCTCAAGACTGAGCTAATGTCAAAGGCATGCCTATATGTGTTGCATAACCAATCAGTGTTTTGTGGAGAGAACAGCCCAGAGTTGAGTTGGTGGAGAAGAAAGAATGGATTAGTGTCCTAGGACTGGTAACCAATTATCATTAACTGGTGAATTAAAACAGAAATTTTTTTCTCACAGTTCTGGAGGCCAGAAATCCAAAATCAAGGTGTCAGCAGGCCCACACTCCCTCCAAAGGCTGTATGGGAGAATCCTTGCCTACCTCTTCATATCTGGTGGTTCCTGGTGGTTCTTGGTTCGTGGCAGCATCACTCCAATCTCTGCCTCTGTCTTCACGTGGCCTCTGCGATTCTCTTATAGAAAAACTGGTCACAAGATTTAGGAACCATCTGGATAATCCAGAATGACCTCATCTTAAAATCCTTAACCTAATTTCATCTGCAAACACTTTTTCCAAATAAGGTGACATTCACAGGTTCCAGGAGTTAGGACTTGGACATGTTTTTGGGGAGTCACTATTCAGCCCACTATAGGGGACAAATGAGAGAGAAATAACACCTATGTCATGGAGCTTCTGTGAGAGTCAATTCAGGCTTCTTCACGTCTTAACCTGAGCTCCTTCCTGAAGCAGAGCTGAGACAAGGCTTGGGTGCAAGTTGTTTATATGGGAGGTGATCCCCGGGAGCAGGAGAGTTCAGGGAGAGAGAAACAGGGAAGGAAAAGAAGGCAACAAAAAGGGTAGGGAGGGGCTACATCTACACAATGGAATACTATGCCGCTATAAAAAAGAAGGAACTTTTACCATTTGCAACAGCATGGATGGAACTGGAGAGCATTATGCTAAGCGAAATAAGCCAGTCAGAGAAAGATAAATATCACATGATCTCACTTATATGTGGAATATAATGATCAACATAATTTGATGAACCAAAATAAATCCAGAGACAAATGGCAGGGGAGGTGGGGAATTAGAGAGCAACAAAAGGACTTGGATGCATGCATATTATTAACATAACCAATGGACAGACACTGGGGTGGTGGGGGCTTGCCATGAGGTGGGGGGGAGTCAATGGGGGGAGGAGGAGACATATCTAAAACTTGAGACAATAAAAAAAAAGGGTAGGGAGGGGCTAGCAAATGAGTGACCATACTGGCTGGTAACTGGATTTGGTCCTATCTAGACCTCCCAAGGTCTTGAAGTGCAGAATGCTGCTGGGTTCCACAGCTTGTCCTCAAACTATCAATAGCCTCTCATTTTCTCCTTGCAAAGCTTCTAAAGCAGTTAGTAAAGCCAACCAACACCACCATCCATATAATTACCATTGCCCTGTGTCTTCCAATTGCTAGAACTATTGCATAACCTAGTGCTCACTATCTACTTCTGCAGTGGAAAATCTTAGTAAGTATGAAGCTATGGTGTATAAGGGTTATCACCACTCCCCTTACTTCCATCCAGGAAGTAATTCCCTTTCCCAGGGCTGATTTCTAGGACCTTCTAATACCCTGTCTTATCCTGGGCTAGCCCTGAAGGCAGAGCCTGAGATAAGATGATCTGGCAAGCCCTGGCCAGTGTTGCTCAGTTGCTTAAGCATTATCCCAAGGATTAAGAGGTTGCTGGTTCGATTCCCAGTCAGGGCACATGCCCCGGTTGTGGGCTCAATCCTCGGTAGTGGGTGTGTAGGAAGCATGTCATCGATGTTTCCCTCTCTCATCAATGTTTCTCTCCCTTCCTTGATCTATAAAAATCAATAAAAATATATTTTTTAAAAAGACCTTCCGGGCAAATAATTTATTTGTGAGGAAACAGGCATGAGGGACTGGAGGAAAAGCCAGTCCAAGGATGTATTGCTGTGTTGAGCACTGCTGTGGGCCATTGGGGCTTGATCCCACTGGAACCTGCTGAGGAATGAAAAAGATGTCTCTCAGAATTGTCCACTTGAGGAACATAGTGAGAAGCATGTATCCATTGGCTGAGGGCCACCCCAGGAGGTGAGGCACCCACTACCCCCACCCCCAGCCTGACTTCTGGGCTATGCATGTGGGCATTCCAAGCAGTCTTCCATTAGTGTCTCACCCAGGACACTGGGAAGCCCCAGGGCAGAAAATGAGTGGTATGTGTTGTACACTTGAAGCATGAAACTGTCAACACAAAGTGAGTGAAGTCGCAGATGCAGCTGGAGTAAGAGGTGAGGCCCAGAGGATGTGACACAGGACACAGAGGCGGCTGTTTTGCCATCTCTCAAACAGCTATAAGGGCAATAACTATCATGTGTTGAGCATGTAGCAGGTTCCAGGTACTTCACTGCTTCCTGTACTAATCCTCATGTAATCCTCAAAATCCCCTCCTCCCCCAGCTCCACCTCAGCCCTGCACAGACATCAGCAACCCCTGTCATGCGCCACCCACCATGGCTTCTGGATTGAATTGGGTAGGAAGGGAAGAAGAAAAGGAAGAGGAGAACCTACTGGATTTTCATTTCAGTACCTACTTTTCCATGTCCAGAAGTTTCACTTTGATTCTTTTATAAATCCACCAATCTTTTCAATATTTTTTGTTGTGAAATACAGCACACATTATATGGAGATGAATAAAAATATATATGCAGTTTAATAAATTATATCAAGTGAACACTAGTGATGAAATGTCACCAGCATCCCAGAAACCCTTGGCAGGTCTCTTCCCAATCACAACCTCACCGCCCCAACTTAACTACTTCTCTTTAATGGGATATTTAGGTGATTGTGAGTTTGGGGCTGTTACAAATAATGGTGCTATGCCTGGTTGGCGTGGCTCAGTGGTTGAGAGTTGACCTGTGAATCAGGAAGTCACAGTTTGATTCCTCATCAGGGTACATGCCTGGGTTTCGGGTTCAATCCCCAGTAGGGGGCGTGCAGGAGGCAGCTGATCAATGATTCTCTCTCCTCACTGATGTGTCTCTCTCTCTCCCTCTCCCCTCTCTGAAATCAATAAAAGGATATATTTTTTTAAAAAGATAAAAAATGAGGCTATGACTACTCTTACTGCATGTCTCCTGGTTCCCATGCACATGCAATCATGTTGAATATACGTAGGAATGGGTCATGGGGTATGTTTATCTCCAGTATAAGCAGACAAAGCCACACTATTTTTTTTCTTTTTTTTAAAACTTTTAATTAGAGCATTGTTGGATCTTAATATTCATCTTTATTAATTTTATCTGGAATGCATACATGTGGTGTTTTTTGATAGAGACAGATTTTTCTTTTTCTTAAAAATATTTGTATTGATTTCAGAGAGGAAGAAGAGATAGAAACATCCATGATGAGAAAGAATCATGAATCGAATTGGCTACCTCCTGCAAGTCCCCTACTGAAGATTGAGCCCACAACCCGGGCATGTGCCCTTGACTGGAATCAAACCTGGGACCTTTCAGTTTGCAGGCCGATGCTCTAGCCACTGAGCCAAACTGGCTAGGGCCACACTATTTTCCAAAGTGGTTCTATGTTGCCTGTTATATCATTCTATGATCAGACACCATGAATACAATCCTCCTGTGAAGGCTAAAGTCCCTAAGACAAAGTATCTGAATAAAAGTGCCTTTGGGGAGAACTAAGATTTTCTTCAGAAAAATCACTTGTAAAAAATAAATTTTTAGTTTCTCATAGTTACATTAAAACAAAGTATTGAACCCCAAACTACAAAAATAAAATTGAAAATTTTAGATAGACATATGATGGTAATATTGGTCGTTCAATTCTGAGACTGCTGTGATTACTATGAGACAAAGCAAATGGGCATGTCATGGCATTCCAGTATCCTCAATATTCTTGAGAACTGGGATTCTTGACATGAGAGGAGATACAACGTATGATAGAAGAGTTAAGTAAAACCCCTAAAGTGCTAAAGGGGCACGAAGGGACTTTTTCTCAGTGATGGAAATGTTCTATATTGTCATTATGGTGGTGGATACACATTTCTCAAAACCTGTATTTGTACCTTTAAAATAGATCAATTTATTGTATGTAAATTATATTAATAAAGTTGATTGAAAAACACACACATTTTGCAATCCTGAATTTAAATTGAAAATATCAGTGTGGCCTTAGCTGTTTTGGATCAGTAGATAGAGCACCGGTCTGTAGACCAAAGGGTTCTGGGTTCGATTCCGGTCAAGAGCACATACTGTGGTTGCAGGCTCCTCCCTGGTTGGGGCATGTGCAGAAGGCAACCAATCGAGGTGTTTCTCTCACATCGATATTTCTGTCTTTCCTTCTCCAACTCTCTCTAAAAATCAATGGAAAAATATCCTTGGGTGAGGATTAAAAAAAAAAGAAAGTAAGAAAATATTAGTGTGAATTCATTAATTTTTTCATTTGTGGGGAAATACACACACACACACACACACACACACACAATGTGTTTGCGAGCTCTACACACTGAAAAGGCATCCAATTTAGCATCCAAAAAATTAACTTTAAAGGTGATGAATCCAACGTTTATCCCAAACCTTTTCCATGCCTCTAAGCCAGTGGTTCTCAACCTTCCTAATGCCGCGACCCTTTATTACAGTTCCTTATGTTGGGGTGACCACCAATTTCATTGTTACAAATTGAACATAATTAAAGCATAGGGGTTGCAACCCACAGGTTGAGAACCGCTGCAGTCTAAGCAAACAGTAGATGAAACATTCTCCTTTATAGAATTACTAGAGGCCCAGTGCACAAAATTCGTGCATGGTTACGGTCCCTAGCAGCTGCCGGCTGCTGCCTGCCAGTCAGGGCCTTCCTTCGCACCCACCTTGGCCTGGCACCACCCGCTCACCTGCTCCACCGCTCTGCCCCAGTCCCGCTCTCATCGGGGCAGCAGCACCTCCACTGCCAGCACTGTGTTGCCAACATCCACCATGTTCCGCACTGCCCCCTGGTGGTCACGCACATCTAACTCCCAGGTAGGATGAACTCCCACCCGTAGGAACAATTTGCATATTAGCCTTTTATTATATAGGACTAGAGGCCCGGTACACGGGATTTTTGCAATCAGGAGGTTCCTCAGCCCGGCCTGCGCCCTGCACCCTATCACAGTTCGGGATGTCCTTGGTGCTGCTGCAGAAGCGGGAGAGGCTCCCGCCACCACCGCTGCACTCGCCAGGTGTGAGCCCGGCTCAGGGCTTCTGGCTGAGCAGCGCTCCCCCTGTGGGAGCACACTGATTACCAGCGGGCAGCTCCTGCATTGAGCATCTGCCCTCTGATGATCAGTGCACGTCAGAATGACCAGTCATTCCGCCATTCGGTCAATTTGCATATCAGCCTTTTATTAAATAGGATTCTAGCCAACAAAAGAAGAAGACAGAATCAGAATATCACCACTTTGCCATCTCTAATGAACTGACTGATCTAGGCATTGATCAATGACTGCTAGCATCCCCTCAAAAGAAATAACCAGCCTTAGCTGGTTTGGCTCAGCAGATAGAGCGTCGGCCTGTGGACTCAAGGGTCCCAGGTTCAATTCCGGTTAAGGACATGTACCTGGGTTGCGGGCACATCCCCAGTAGGGGGCGTACAAGAGGCAGCTGAATCGATGTTTCTCATCGATGTTTCTAACTCGCTATCCCTCTCCCTCTCCCTTCCTCTCAGTAAAAAAAATCAATTAAAAAAAAAAAAAAGAAACAACCAGATATTAATGACTTCTGATGGGCGATCACAACAACCTAAATAATCTTGCCACAAAAATTGAACTTAAAAGCTAATCAAGCCACTGGATTCTATTTCCAACCTAGAGGAACAGTTTAAATAAACTACATCCTGGGGATGTAATAAATAAAATCCAAACAGTAAAAAACCCGATAATAATCCAATTCTGAGAGAGAGAGAGAAAGAGAGAGAGAGAGGGAGAATGAATCTATAGGATAAGAGAGCTAACAACCAATTTCAATAAATTAATATGACACCCAAATTAAAAAACACAAACATTTATTACACCAATATTGAAATTTATACATTCTTAGCTGCTGATATATACTTGGTTAAAAAGTCTTTTACTTTGGATATATGCATCATTTCCTTCATAGTGGTGTCTCTACTTCTCAGATGTATTAATCCATTCTCCAAAGTCGCATCAGTAATCAAAACTGTGAAGAGGATACTCATTTCATCATATCTAAGGAAAAAGGTAGTTAAACCAAATACATGCACACAAACATAAATTGTAAATGCACCACATTAGCAGCTTTAAATACTTTAGAACCCATGCTACTTTCAGGGTCACAAAACTCAAAGCAAGGCTGGAGGGCTAGACCAAAACCACCTTTTTCAAGTTTCTGAATCGCATTCAAAGTAAAATTTTCAGAAAGTTTCTGACTTATTGTAATAGCTGAAAAGTCATAAAAAGAAAATAAAATCTGAGAAATAATCAAAATACCATTTGGGGTGATATTATGGGTAAACCTCAGAATAACCTCCGCCTTTTGGGACTTTAATGCAGTCCAAGAAAATTGTTTTAGATGAAAGTCTCTTATAATGCTACCATAATAAAAGTCCAGTGCACAATATATCATACCAAAATCATGCTTGATATGTAACTTTGTAGGCTAGTAGCTTTTTAGCCAGTCACAGTATCTCATTGTTTCTTTGCTCTGTTAGACTCTTATCAACATTACCTTATTTATCTATTTACTTGTTTACTGTCTATTTTATCCCACTAGAATATAAGCTGCATAAGAACAGGAAACTTCTCTGCCTTTTTTATTGCTATATCAAAGTACAGAAAACACACTAAGTGCTTAATAAATATTTGGATAAAAATATCCTAAAACAATAAAGCCTTTACTGTATCAAGAAAAACTATAATTTGATAACGTCCACATGACTCAAAGGATATGATTCTAGAACCGAGAGGACTGAAAAGTTTAAATACCATCCCTTCATTTTGGTTTATCTTACCCATAACAACCTACTTTTCTTTTTACATCATCTGAAAGGTGTATTTTAACCAATTATTAGAGAACTAAGGAGAAAAACACAAAGTTTGACAACTTTTCACCCAAAAGGTATGTATTCAACACAAAAAGCTACATAAAATTACAAAATAAATCCAGAGGAAAGAATGAATTCCTTTATTAAAAAACTGAAGTTTTAAAACTAGAGACAGGAAGGTCAATTAGGAGATTACTTCAATAATCCAGGCAAGAGATATTGGTGACCTTCACTTGGGTAGTAGCAGTGAAGATGGAGAGATGTGGATTTGAAATGTATCTAAGAAGCAGGGAGCAACATTTAGTGACGAAATGAATGTGGAGAATAAGGAAGGGGGAGGAGCTAAGGATGACACCCGGGTTTTAATCTTGAGCGACCAGGTAAACAGAGATGCCAATCACTGAGGAGACTAGTTTTCTGTCTTCTGGGATGGAATTATTTTCCACTCAACCTCAAAATAAACCACAACTCCAGTAAGGAAAAGGCACTCTATTCAATAAATGCATCCAATGTACATAATTCCAATCCTGGTAAATTGATAAACTCAGGTATACATACTTCATGACATTAAGTCTTGAAGTTGCACATGGTATGTACTCAAGTATGCCTGATGAAGAGTGTTTCCTGCTGTAGCAATTAACTATGGGCGTGTGGTTCGGTAAATGGGAAAATTAGGAATACTTTCAAGTTACATTATATAAAGATATGTTTAGAAGAGAGATGTTACTCATAAAATAAAGAAGAAACGTCTAAAAAAACAACTCTGAAAAAAATACTGTTTTATCGAAAGGAAGACAATTCTTACTTTGAATAAAGTTGTTCCAATGAGGACTGTGCAGTTTCCAAATAACCAGGCCACACAGAAATTCCACTTTCTAGTAATTCATTAAACAGCCCTTGACAAACCTGGGGGGAAAAATTCAAATATGAAAGAAATAAAAGTAGCTAGAGTGATTACTCTATTTTTTTTGAAACCACAAGTCACCTTTTTCAATCTTAAAAATGGGCCTAAATTCCTTTAATTATGTGATAATATTGCTTATAATTTACATATTGTACACTGACAATTGTATACTTTCTCTGAAAATAAAGAAATTAAGCACTGCAAAGATGAATATTAAATGCAAATCTTCTGAGAGAAAATTTTATACCGAATATAAGAATTTTTATCATCATTCAAAACACAAATAAAACCAAAACAGGTGTTGTCAGAGAAAAACATAAGTCCAAAGGGCTATTTATGTCCACTCTAAAAGTCATCTGAGTTGAGAAACTGAGTCCGAAAGTTTTTACTATCCTGTCAACAACCAGAGAAGTATGAGAACAACTTCGAGAGTAGTATTCTTGGAGCAAACTAAAGAAAATGCTTCGAAAAGAAAAGATGATTGATTAGTTACAGTGGAATGCTGGAGACAAAAGTCAGACTGAAAATACACACATAATAATGAGTCAATGACATAGTAAATTTACTGTTTTCTTAACAAGCAATGGTGAAGCAAAATGAAGCAAAATTTTAAACGCCCCTGCCCTGGCCAGTGTTATTTAGTGGTTGGAGCGTCGGCCAAGCACCCAAAGGTCTCCTGTTCAATTTCCGGTCGAGGGCATATACCTGGGTTGTGGGTTCAGGAGGTAACCAGTCAATGTGTCTCTCTCACATCAATGTTTCTCTCTTTCTTCCTCTCTCCCCTTCACCCTCCCTGAAAAAAAAATGGGGAAAAAAATATCCTCCCGTGAGGATTAACAAAAAGAAAGTGTTGTCTTTGTGTGTGTTTTTTTAAACACCCTTAACAATCTAGAGCTAAAACATTAGAGTAGAATTTCTCCCATTCAGCTCTGCTGACATATGTTTAGAAGCATCCCTGGCCTCCATTAGATCGATTCCAGTAGCACCCCTTCCCCACTGCGACAATCAAAAGTGTCCTACTTGAAGAAAAATAATTTTTTAAAAAGTAGATGAATCAAAATAAAATTCTAAATGGCAAACTCATTTACTTGAAATAATGGTTATAATTAAAATAATGACATCAGAACTCATTTAACCCACCTGTCTTAGTTCCACTGTTGGGCCTTTTCCCATATCCAAAGCAACCTTAATAGGGGCTAGACAAGGGTGAAGCTTAAGTACCTAAAGCAAATGAAAGGGGTGGGAGAACAATACATCTTAAGTTAAAATACAAGCACTAACAAACATGGGCTTCTTAAACAGTAAAATTTTCTGTGTGAAAATGGAAGCTAACTGGGGCCGCACAAAAACCTGTAACAATGTCTTCAGTTGTGTATATCCAGCTGCTCATGGATTTCTCCAGATGCTCTGCAGAAATCAGTTCGCCTGATACTCTCCCATTTTCCTGACAACTCTATTTTTTGTCAGTCAAAATGCCTCCTGGCATCGTTTTCCCACTCAGCTGGGGCCATATGGACTTATCACTTAGAAAGAGTGGAGGTGGGAAGAAATGGTCAGATTCAGGATATATTTTGAAGGCAAAGTCAAATAGGTTTTGCTGGTGGTTTGATTTGATGTGGGGTATAAGAGAAAGGATCCACCTTGCTTGTATGCTACAGACACCCTATAAATCCCATCCCCCAGAGCAGTTTCATAATCTGACTTATGGCCATAGGTTAACTGAGCACTGCATAATCAATCACTTAACTACACAGAGTGGTGCTACAAACTCAGTTTCCAAATCCAGTTGAACACTCAATATGTTAAAACTTTTGATTTGGGACAGCTGCCTTTCACATTCAAGGGGAATATGACTATTCTAAACTCTTGCCACTTAAATCCCTACTCCTCCACATTTTAAGCAAATACTTGCCTCCTAATTCCCTAAGAAAATACAGTGTATGAATAAAACTTCCTGCAAAGGCTAACCAGTCCTGGTAGCCTATTTATATCTATACCATCATTTCTTTCCTCCCTGTTTCAAATAACTCCTTTTCAAATCCCTCCACCTATACTCTTGATTCTGTCTTGATTCTTCCTGTTTCTTCCAAAATTTTACTTCTTAAAAAAAATTTCATCTTTATTATTGAAAGTATTACAGATGTTCTCTTTTCCCCCACTGACTCCCCAAATCTTACCCTTTAGTAATTTCTTTCCTTTCCTACATAGTAATTGCTTTCCTATAGCATTAACCCCTCCTGCCTCTTGATTTGATTCCCCTACCTCCCCCCTCAAAAAAATTGTTTGTCCTAAAATAAGCCTTTCCCTTAACCCAGGCCCATATCTAATCCCTATGATCCAGTGGTCAGCCACTCGGGATCAGACCAGAAGCAGAGGTCAATACCACAGTTTTGACCTTGTCTGTCTTATTTACTCTTACTTAACACTCAGCTTCTGAGGCAAATGGGAGTTATCAATGGAAAGGCTTAGAGGCTAAAAATCAGAGATGGCTGTCTAGTTCCCTAAGATGAAACAGAAATGCCTTTGGAATTACCCAACAGAAATGTCTTGTTCTATTCTGTGAGCACCTGCTTATTATTCCTGCAGCCAGATTAAAAACAAAACAAAACAAAAAACACTGAAAAATACTCAAATTACTTGCACTAAAGAAAATTTCATTTTTCAGACTTTATGTTAGAAACCAAGCACATTAACCTTAAAAAAGGAGGGAAACATATATTTTTTTGTTTCCCAAGTCTATCTCTGAAATATCAAAAGCACCTTTCTATGAAGATTTTTCTTTCTTGTAAAGGAATTCTCTGTTAGCTGGAAAGAATCATACAGGTAAGCCAGCATGCCTCGGTCTAGATCTCCATTTATAGATAAGACAGAAGGAACCACATTTTTTCGTCCATCTCGGCCCTTCACAGAAAAGTAGAACAAAAACAAAGTATCATTTAGCAGAGCTATCTTTTAAAATTACACATTTTAGACTTACAAAATCAGAACATAAACTGACCAATAAATCTAGAAAAAATGATAACATTAATTATTTAAAAATCACCATTTGGCAACCCTTTGTGGTAATAATTGATTTGGGCAAGAATCATCAATACAAGCTGCAACTGGTAGGTCAAAATTTTGTGAAAAGCAAATAGTCTTTAAGTACCTGCCCACAAAAGACTTATTAATTACTTATCAATTAATAAATACAACTTTACATTGGAGAAACCCAGCATGCATAGCAACATCTAGCAACATGTTAACCAAGTGATAAAAGTTAATATCGCCAATAACCAATTTATATCACAAGCCTTCTATGATATAATGAATGGGCAGCAGCATTTCTGTGGCTGAAGAAACATGAAAAAAACTCAAACTAAGGAACATCCTACAAAGGAACTGGCCTGTACTCTTCAAGAACATCAAGATCATGAGAGATAAGGAAAGACACAAGGAATTATTCATTTGAAGGAGACTATAAGGATACACAACTGTATGAAGTATGTGACTTGATAAGGTCCAGGACCTATAAAGGGCATACTGGATAATCGGTTACATTTGAAGGGTTCTCTGATGGGATGGTAATCCTGAATTACTCTTACCAGTACTTTCCTCATTTTGATGGTTGCACTGTGGTTACATAGGTGAGTGCCTTTCCACTCAAGAAATACATACTGGCCGAAACTGGTTTGGCTCAGTGGATGGAGCGTCGGCCTGCGAACTGAAAGGTCCCAGGTTCGATTCCGGTCAAGGGCATGTACCTTGGTTGCGGGCGCGTCCCCAGTGGGGAGTGTGCAGGAGGCAGCTGGTCGATGTTTCTCTCTCATCGATGTTCCCAACTCTCTCTCTCTCCTTTCCTCTCTGTAAAAACTCAATAAAATATATTTTAAAAAAAAAGAAAAGAAAAGAAATACATACTGAAGTATTAAGAGATCATGTGCACATGTCTGCAGCTTATTTTCATTCAAATGGTCCAAAAATGATCACAGAGAATCTGGGTAAAGGATACATTACAAGTTCAAGGTAATACATACATGTAATTGAGACACATTTCCAGGATACATGTGTAAAAGTTCCTGATCTCCTAGATTCCACAGGGTTTCTATTGGCTCCTTTCCCCAGGGAAAACTGTAGTAAAGTTTGTTTCCTTTTCGTCCCTCTTCATCCTGACAGTCACTGCTGCTGAAGTTAGATGGACTCACAGCAAACTGAAAAAGAAAGTTCATTTGTCTTATTAATTTATTATAGTAAGTGTTGAAAAGTAAGTTGCCTAAGGCTATTATGCAGCAGCTGAATAAAAATGGTCAAGCCCAAATCAAAACTACAGAGAAAAACTGCTGATGATCATATATATTATCCTAATTAATAAGAGGGGAGGGCAACCAAGAACTAAGTGAGATGAAGAAGTATCACATACCATACTTATCCTTTTGTAAAGAGCTTGATTGTTTGTGATTATTCCACTTAATTTAGGTAGGTGCTTGGGGATTTTAAGAGTTGGAGAAATGGGGAGACAAAAATGCTTACTTCAACTCTTTCGTCTTCAGCGTATACTAAAACTTGATTATAAATTTATAGAACCATTTTGACTAATATGGAGAGTTCATGGAGATAGGGAACAAAAGTTAAAGCCGTACTGAGAATGCCAGGTGAGGAATGTGAACTTTACCTTGAATGTAAAAGCTTATCAACAAAGGCCTCTGAGCAAGAGAGAAATATTAACAGATGTCTTTACCAAAGTAACTTTGTTATATGGAACAATGAAAATCATTAGAGTTTTTTATTTGTATTTGTTGATTTAGTATAGCTGTATCTTATAAATATAATATAGCTCCATCAAGAATGCCAGGTGAGGAATGTGAACTTTACCTTGAATGTAAAAGCTTATCAACAAAGGCCTCTGAGCAAGAGAGAAATATTAACAGATGTCTTTACCAAAGTAACTTTGTTATATGGAACAATGAAAATCATTAGAGTTTTTTATTTGTATTTGTTGATTTAGTATAGCTGTATCTTATAAATATAATATAGCTCCATCAACATTTTTCATTTATTAAAGAGAAATATTACCTCTGACACATTAAGACAACATACTTATTAACTATTGAATTAAGGGTGATTACTGTAGTACCTTTCTCCACCACAGGAGTCGATGACGTAACCAGAAATCAAGCCACTGGCTGGCAGTTCTTGCTGAAGTAAACCATACCAGTGAAGCTTCCGTCGTCTCACCGATTCTTTGAATATCAGAAATATCAAATAGTTACTTATTTGAAAATTATATAATCTATCTCAAAGTGAAAATGACTGATTCTTGACTATTTTAAACACAAGCCATTTTTCTGTACCTTTTAACACCATGAGATGTCTGCTTAGTATCAGAAGCAGGATGAAAACACACTCCAATCTGGGCGAGGCCATAAGGCAGCCTCTTGTTTACCAGATCCAGGCAATTCACATAGTGCTCCAAGGCCCCTGTCAAAGGGTAAATCAATCATCATATAAACTATTCTATAAACCCACATTATTTTGGTCAATGCACAGGCAAATTAATAATATATTAATGCTAACACAACAGTACAAGTAGCATGGAGCTATTTGTTAAGGCAGATCTTAATTACCACTTAATTTTAGGTAGCTTTCCCCCAACTTTTCAGTTTGAAGATTTTCAAATCTACAAGGAAGTTGAAATAGTACAATAAACAAATATCTGTAAACCTTTACTGACATTCACCCATTACCAACATTTTTCCACTTTTTTTGTTCGCCCCCAAAACATTTCAGCATTCATCTCCTAATTTTCTGTTACCATTACACCATAAAATTAATCATACCATAATTTCATCTAACATATATGGTCAATATCCTTATTTTGTCCAATTATCACCCATCTCATTTATTGCTGTTCTCTTTCTCCGTAAGGTTCAAACACCATTTTGACCAGATCTCTTTAATCTCTTTGAATCTACAACATTTCCCCTGACTCCTTCCTCTCTAACTTTGCTTTTAATGACATTGACTTTTGAGTCCAAGCCAGTCATAGATTATCTCACAGTAGAGATTTGTCTGATTGCTTCCTTATGATTTAATTTGGGTTATTTTTAGCAGAAATAATACCACGTAGTCGATGTGAATGTCTTAGTGCATCTTAACAGGAGGAACAGAATATCAAATTATCCTATTAATGAAACAAATGTGATTATTTGATTAAGGTAATCCATTTCCTAACAAAACCCTGCTCCCCCACAATCTTCCACCTATATTTTAGAATCCACTAATGATCCTTGCTTGAATCAATTATACCTTTGGGGATTATAAAATCATACCATGGTGATTTTTCTTTTTTTTTTTTTAAATAAGTCATTTTATTTATTTGTTATTTTATTTTTATATATTTTATTGATTTTTTTACAGAGAAGAAGGGAGAGGGGATAGAGAGTCAGAAACATCGATGAGAGAGAAACACTGATCAGGTGCCTCTTGCACAACTCCTATTGGGGATGTGCCCGCAACCAAGGTACATGCCCTTGACCGGAATCGAACCTGGGACCTTTCAGTCATTTATTTCTTTCGTTAACAATATGGTTTAATTATTTTAAATTTTATTTAATGTGTTATGATCCATTACCACCAATATTTACTTTAATGTTCAATTTGTCTCAAATTTAGCCAGTGGGAGAGAGTCTCCTTCAAGTCAACATGTGTCCTTTTGACATGACCCCACAAGTCTTCAAGTAATTCCTTGCTTTCTAGCACCATAAAATGTCCCAAACTCACCTTGTATTTTCCCTGCCCTGAACCTGGAATGAGCCATTTCTCCAAGCACTGGTTTACTTTAGAAACCAAACGTTGGGTACTAGGTGTATTCATTGCTATTGTCATTGCTTCTAGGCCCTTTCAATGAAGAAAGTTAGGACATTTTTTTTTTAAATCCTGAGTTCATACTGATATTGCCAATTCAAATTTAACATTACAAAATGTATTCGTCTTATATTTTTTTCCTTTTTTTTCTTTTATATTTGCATCTCTTCTCTATTACTGAGAAAATCCTGGTTTCTAAGAACATTAATCTATTTGCTTTATCCCATAATATATATGAAATAGCTTCAGAGTTACAATTCCAACATTCCTATTTAGAGTAAACCTAAGTTCAAAATTTCTTTGTAGTTGTCTATGCTAGTTATATAAAAGGTTATATCCCACTAAATGACAGGAATGTGTTCAAAAGTTACTTGAGATTCCCACTAGCTTGTTGATAGCTGGTCCAGAAACTTAAAAAAAAAAATTTGTTTAAAGACACGGGAGAACACCTTAGGTGGTTTGGCTCAGTGGCTAGAGCATTGACTTGTGGATTGAAGGGCCCCAGGTTCGATTCCAGTCAAGGGCACATGCCCAGGTTGCAGGCTCAATCCCCAGTGAGGGGCATGCAAAAGGCAACTGACCAATGATTTTCTCTCATTATTGATGTTTCTATCTCTCTCCCTCTCTCTTCCTCTTTGAAATCAATAAAAATATATATATTTTTAAAAAGACACAGGAGAACTATCAAGGCAGTAAGGATGTGAGGGTCCAAATTTTGGAGAAAAGGGAAGAGCATATTTTCCCTTTCAGTGCTACTTTTCCTATTCTCAAGTAGCAGAGCTGAGCAAAGCTTCCTGACATTTTATGTGATTGGAAAGTACAAAAATTATAGTTCCTGCCCTAGCCGGTTTGGTTCAGTGGATAGAGTGTTGGCCTGTGAACTGAAGGGTCCCGGGTTCAATTCTGGTCAAGGGCACATGCCCAGGTTGTGGGCTCAATCCCAATAGGGGATGTGCAGGAGGCAGCCGATCAATGATTCTCCCTCATCATTGATGTTTCTAGCTCTCTCTCCCTCTCCCTTCCTCTCTGAAATATATATATATATCCTATATAATAAAAGGGTAACATGCAAATCAATCAAATAGCAGAATGACCAGTCGCTATGATACGTACTGACCACCAGGGAGCAGACGCACAACGCAAGAGCTGCCCCATAGTGGTCAGTGCACTCCCACAGGGGTAGCTCTGCCTTGCCAGAACCAGGCTCACAGCTGGCAAATGCAGCGGTGGTGGTGGGAGCCTCTCCCACCTCTGCAGCAGTGCTAAGGACCTCTAAGCCAAGGAGCGGGCCTAAGCCGGTAGGTGGACATCCCCAGAGGGATCCCGGACTGCGAGAGGGCGCAGGCCAGGCTGGGAAACCCTCATCCTCCTCCCCCAGTGCATGAATGTCATGCACCAGGCCTCTAATATATATATAAAATTATAGTTCCTGGTTCATCAAGGAGGGGCCCTGGTAAATACCCCCACCTTTCACTAGAGCCACTACACTCTAGAGCAGTGGTTCTCAACCTGTGGGTCACCAACCTGTGGGTCACGACCCCTTTGGGGTCGAACAACCCTCTCACAGTGGTTGTCTAAGACCATCGGAAAACACATATATAATTACATATTGTTTTTGTGATTAATCACTATGCTTTAATTATGTTCAATTTGTAACAATGAAAATACATCCTGCATATCAGATATTTACATTACGATTCATAACAGTAGCAAAATTACAGTTATGAAGTAGCAACGAAAATAATTTTATGGTTGGGGGTCACTACAACATGAGGAACTGTATTAAAGGGTCGTGGCATTAGGAAGGTTGAGAACCACTGCTCTAGAGGTAGAGATGACTGAAAAGACAGCCCAGACTCCAAATAAACTTATCCTGGATTGTTATTAAGAGGATATGCTCCCACTCTAGCTGCCTGCCAAAAGCAAAAGTAAAACCTTCCAGAAGGAAGAAAACACCACTCAAAGCTTCAATTTATCTCTACCATTTTTCACAACTTAACCTAGAATATCAGGAAAGTCCAAATGACCAAAAGCCCAGAGAAAAACAGATAGTAGAAACAGAAAATTGTGAGTTACTGGACATGGACTTTATTTTTCTTTAAATATATTTTATTGATTTTTTACAGAGAGGAAGGGAGAGAGATAGAGAGTTAGAAACATCGATGAGAGTGAAACATCAATCAGCTGCCTCCTGCACATCTCCCACTGGGGATATGCCCGCAACCAAGGCACACGCCCTTGACCGGAATCGAACCCGGGACCCTTCAATCCACAGGCCGACGCTCCATCCACTGAGCCAAACCGGTTTCGGCAAGGACATGGCCTTTAAAATGGGATTGTGTTTAACTAAAATATGGTAATTATCACAGAAAGGCAGGAGAGAATGAGTAAAAATATTTGAAGACATAATGGCCAAGAATTTTAAAAAACCAATCATAAAGTAAGAAAGGGTGCCCAGCCAGTGTGACTCAGTGGTTGAGCATCAACCTATGAACCAGAAGGTCAAGGTTCAACTCCTGGTCAGGGCACATGCACAGGGTTGCCCACTGGATCCCCAGTGAGGGACATGCAGGAGGCAGCCAATCAATGATTCTCTCCCATCACTGATGTTTCTGTCTCTCTCTCTCTCCCCCTCCCTCTCTGAAATCAATATATTAAAACAACAACAAAAAAAAGGTTATTGGAAATAGAAAGCAAGGGCAAACTGAGTAACTCTAACACTAGATAACCGAAGGGTTTGGCAAATAGATGGATTAAGTTTCCTACAGGCAACAAAAAGTCTGACACAACATAGATGCTTTGATGGGTGGGGATCTAAGAGAGATAAGTTTCATTTTCTAATAAGGAAGAAAAGATTGATTGGGGGGGGGGGAGGACATGGTAATGAGCAGTGGTTTAACTCCCCCAGAATGAAAACCATGGAATAAAGTAGTATAAATAAAAATTATCACACTTTTTCCATTTGATTTATTCCCTTAAGGAAATCTTTAACAATTTATAATGTAGGTACTGATTTTCAGAGAACCATGGACATTGGTTATTTTAAATTACTTTATAGTACCACTTAATGAAAAATGGCAAGGATAGCATTTTGCAAAGATGAGATGCTGGGGCTGCAAGTTGGCCCTATAAAGAACCCGAGTTGTTTTGTTTTCAGCATCTCTGCAATCATGTTCTATTTGACTTTAAAGGCAAATGGTCCCCTATAAGTTTGCGTAGCCACTCAGAAGTCACTTGTAAAGCTTGATTAGTCCTATTTTGCCTACATGACTCTCGAAACAACAGATTGTAGATCAGAAAAACCAGGGAAGGGCATTTTCTTTTTGCTCTAGAAAAATGAGTTTTGATTTTGTATAAAACTGAAGGGTGACTGTGGAAGTATTTACAAGCATTTTAGTAACGATGAACAAATGACTCAAATACAGGCTTTAATTTAGGTCTTAATTCTAGGGCTGCTCAATTAACTCTCAAATTATAGGGGTTGCTCTGTGAAATGAAGAGCATTACCAGGTTGGTCCTTCGGTCAGATTCTTTAAGTAACAGTAAAGATTACATGGCCAGTTTTCTCCAGCGCAGAAGCACTGTCAATACACCCAACTACCTCAAAAAGTGAGAACCACATAATCTCCTTTCCACGTGAGTAAAGGGCCAGTTGCAATTCGCAGAATCGCGCGAGATTGCCTTTCCACCCCGACACCTATTTTGAAGCATGAAATCATGAAGCATACCGTGAAGGAGGTTCTCCCGTAGTTTCCCAGAAGTTTTTAATAAGTTCTCAAGAAATGCTACTAGCTGTTCCTTACTCAGTTCTTTGTCTTGCAGGATTTCGCGTAGAGTTTCTGCGGAAACTAACCTGAAGGCATTGTCCCCGGGCAGCGAAGGGCCCGATTCATGGTGGAGGGCGTCTACCGGGAAGACCTGTTCCCTGAACACCACCACGGAGGACCACCATTCTGCCACCAAGTTCTTCCGCAACTCTAAGCCCAAGGGGCCAAAGCCGGCGTGGCACCCGCTCAGGAGAGAATCTCGGGTAACCCGCCGCTGGGTGCCATTGAGGAAATGCCTTCTCTGACAGATCTCTACCAGCGCTTCTCTCCCCTCTCCAGACTCTGGGGCTTCTCTTGGTTCGCTCCCCTCAGGCAGCTCCGCGGGCGACCTCGGGGGCTCTCCAAGGAGGCTACTCGCTTCCGTCAACCGCTCTGGCTGGCCCCCATCTACTCGACCCCCAAAACCCGACAACAGGCATCTGCAGGTTTTCTGGCAGGCCCTGACGACTGCCCCAGAGCGCATCGCCCTCGGGAGTTAAAATACAGTCTATTAGCTAGCAACCCCTACAACAGCCGCAACCGTAAAAACCCGGAACTTCGCAGCCGCGTCGGAAGTGACCTTGCGTGCAGCTGGCTCCGCCCACGGAAGCACGTCAGGGTCCCGGCCGCAGCCGCAGCCGCCCAGGGCCTACCTCGCTCGCCCGGGCAGACAGGCCCGTCTCCCGTCAAGCCAGATCCCCCAGCCAGTGTTTTCATGTCCTTAACACAGATAAAGGGCATTTCCCATCTGCTTTTCACTATCGTGCGGTAGCCACTGCTACCATCAGCTTCACTTTCCTTCTCCATTCTCTCGCGCATCTACTTAAGATTGAGGTGATGTGAAGAACATCTAAGTGCTAATGAAAATATACGTTGGTCCCCATTTTTTAAGTCTTAGTCCTTTATGATGGTTTAGAAACCTAGGTATTCCAAATGCACTACCAGCGTGCCTACCCATCAGAGCAGTTCTCCTGGATGTGAATGGGGTTGTAACTTGGAAGAGGTGGGGTCACGTTACTGTCTCAAAGGGGCCAGTACCATCTGCACCACTTGGGAACCTTAAGCTGCTGAGGGGACTCCGCAATGTTTTAAGTAAGTCTGCATGTGAATGTGTTCCTACAACTGAGAACCTGTAAGTTGCTCTATCATAAGTTCCTTTTAGGTTTCCGCAAAACATGCAATAAATGAAACTTGACCACCAGTTTAAAACAGAGATCCAGGATTGCCTAACAGGCCTGTTTTTACAATCTCCATTTTAACAGTAAAAGCCCTTAAGAAAATTGCCCAAGAAGTGTAAAAGGTGAAAATGGCTCACCCCCAAACCCATGATTCCCGTCCTCCAGGTTCCCTTCAAGTTCAGTTAGGAAAACCTTGAAAAATGAATTCATGTAAAATTTACTGGTTCCACTAAGCTACCAGGAGGGGCAGTTTGTGGAGAAGGGTAATAGCTTAGCAATTAACAGTAATATAGAACAGCTAAAATTTTTCATCGCAATAGTGTTGTAGGACCTCAGACTATCATTCCATACAATAAGTGTGCAAGTTTATAAAAAGAGAAACTAGAAAATGGAAACGATTGGTAGGAAGCAATTACATTAACTGCAAAGCTGGGCACTACTAATGTACGTTTCCCACACTCAAGAAACGCACCAAAGAGGCCTATACGCAAATAAATCAGAGAGAGAATGGGGAGAAAAAAAAAACATTTATTAAAGACAACCACAGGCTGGACACAACACACATGCTAAAAAGTGGACTGTCTTTTAAAATTTACTTCAAAGGTAAATAGATAAATGTTTCCCACAGCCCCACAATCATTTCAATTAAGTGTTTACAAATTTAAAGGCCCACAGTAGACATTAAACAGTAAAATATGTTAATTCCAACCTACCCTGAAAGTTTATGAATTGTCATTACAAATTTGACCTACCATGCTATTGAAAACTGTTAAAGGTTTATCAGTTTTCAAGGTATTAGTCCTAAAAATACTCCCCCCCCCCCAAACTCTATTTCAGAGATAAGGCATTAACACCAATTAAAGCCTCAGTTTAATAATCAGAATTTAAATGTCTTAAAACTTCTCTCCTGGCAAAAAGAACATATATACCACTTTCTGGGTAGACAATCAGACCTACTTCTAGTAATTAGTGAAACAAATAAGAAATATTGGTGAGCTGAAGTTAAATCTAGAGCTAGTTTCTGGATCTTTCTAGCAATAAACCCATGTTGACACTAACAAGACTTGTACTATAGTCACTGTGCTTTTGGTTATGTTACTTCCTCTTGGTTAACCATTAATTTTGATAAGGACTTTTTTTATGTGTTCAAATATGAATAGACCTTAGTTTGAAGTGCTGTAGAGTTCCCTGGATTATTGGAAGGACATTTAATGACTCCCAGTGTGACTGCAATTAAGAGTCCCTGGGAGCCTGTGAAGACTAGAATCTGCACTAAGAAAACAAATTGAAACAGCTCCTGCCAACCTTATCTTTAAAGGTGTTCTTAGCTTTGCTCAACATTCCAGTACTTCACAATAGACAAGAGCATGAATATAATCTTCAAAAAAGCAAGTTTTTGGAGCTATTAAATAAATTTTGCCAAAGGAACAGTCATCTATGTTCCCACACTAACCAGTTTGAAGGTGGAGCAATACAGTTAGTTGATTATTTCCTATCTACTTTAATATCTCATTTCACCATTCAAACAATTAGGCTACTAAATGACTCACCTTATTATGTTGGGAGGTACTGACAGAATGCCATTACACAATTTAGCCTAGAATTATAAATTAACCTAAATCTCACTTTAATTCTTGCAATATAAATAGATGACTTCAAAGGCTTTCTGATCTTCCCACTTCCCCAAACTAAATTATGGAAAGTTTTATTTAAAAAAAACAAAAAATAAAAACAACACAAAACCAACGGACCACCTAAGCAGTTTTACATGACATTATATATGTAAAATAAAGTACAATTTCCACTTAATTCAGTCTTCAAATATTTTTTATTGGAAGGCCATGCATTGCCTTCATTCATTGTATTTCAAATCACTGTACATTTACTTTGTGAAAACACTGCCTGCATTTTCTAGTACAAAAAAAACCTAAAAATTGTTTCAGGAATGTAGAGAAATATCCAACTTAAATAGCGAAAAAGTGCACCATAATTACTGCTGCACTGCAGTCATTTCTGCATTTCCCATGTTTCTTAAATAACTATCTTGTCTGATAACACACAATATAAAGAGCAATTATGAAAAACAGACATTTACATATACTTCTAAAGTCTTATTGAGAATATCCTGTTGGCATTGGATAACCAATCATAGGTGCAGCTGCAGTAGCAGGATATGCATATGCCTGTTGGTTCATACCATTGTGCATATTTGGAACATTACTTCCATATTGCTGAGTGCTATCATAACCATTCTGGTAAGTCCCTGTTGGATTACCAGTCCTAAAACTGGTCTGTATACCAGCAGACACAAAATTACTTCCAAAGCTCCCATTGGTGTAATTTGCAGCACTGTAAACACCATTCTGGGTCTTTGCCCCAAAATCTCTCTTAAGCAGACTAGAGTAACCCCTGTCATAATTTTCCCTGTCTCTAAAGGTATTAAATCCACCCCTTTTGCCTGCAGAGTATCTGTCCCGACGGTCATCCTTCATGCCTCCTCTACCCCTGGAACGACCTGTTAAGAAAAAATAATTGCAAGCTGATTATTTCTGTGGCATAAATAATTTCTAACACAGAAGGAATTAGGTACCTCTCACTATAGATGAGGATCACTCTCTACTTGTGTCATACCCGTTTCACTCACCTGCCAATCCCTTTTAAAAATGGGTTTGTAGACAATTATGAAATACAAAACCACCAACATTTCTTATTGAAGATTATAGTCTTACCTGAACCTCTGTCTTCAACCAACTGAAGCAACTTGGGATTAATTGCTTGATTAGCTTCACGAAGCACAGAGATAAGGTCGCTCACTTGCTTTATATTATTAGGTGTAAAGAAAGTGTATGCTGTGCCTGTTTTGGTACTGCGAGCAGTTCTTCCAATTCGATGAATATAATCCTCTGAGGAGTTAGGGTAGTCATAATTGATGACAAATTTCACATCTTCCACATCTGTAAGGTGTTGCAGTGTGGCAAAATAGCAATGTATGGAGTTTTGCACACCACAACAGCCAGACCAAAAATAAAAAGTTAGACATTTGTATTCCCAAGAAGGTACGGGCTGCAAAAAATAGTTAAAATGGTTATCCGTTCCCTGAAGGAATACCATTGAGGTTGGGGGGGAAAAAAGAGGGAGAAAAAAAAAAAGCACACTTCATTTGTGTGTTATTGCCCACCCCATGATAGCACCTGTCAAAAGGATGTGTATTCCCTAACACATCCCCAAATCAGTAAGTCCCCATATAGGTCATCAAGTGACATCTGAATGCTTCTGTGCAGTAGGGCCACTTAAAGGTTCACAGCAACCTCTTCATGTGCTCATTATGAGGACCTTTAAACAAAAATGTACATGGTCCTTTGCATTACACACTCATCAGAAGTTCAAAATTCTGGCCACACTGCTTGTCTTGCCAAGACCTTACAACTGCAGCTGCAAGAAAAACATACCTGTCCCCCAAAAGTTGTTTTTATGCACTGTGTCTCGTCTAGGCAAGCACTTCCAAGAAGCCAGGATTCACTTGAGAATGTCTCTCTCTCTGGCAGGTCTCGACATGACGACTACTGTGTAGGTGAGGGAGGAACTTTCAAAGCAGTTTTATTTTCCCACTGACTAAGTGTGGGAAGTTGTTCCTGCTCTAGAGGCTCATGTGCCAGTACTCACCAATTTGTAAAAGGCTTTTAGTACCTTTTAAAGCTGCTCTCTCCATTTCAAACTTGAACAAAAATGTCATTGAACATTGAAGTTTGGAAATATTTCTTCGACATTTCAGCAAACTCACTGAAACTCAAAGACTCACAGATCACAGTAAACAGTCTGAAACAATGCAGTACCATGGCAGTCATGCAAAGCATGGGACAGAAGAAATACCACGGCAGTGAACTGTGAGGATAACTTCCATTTTTTTTCCCCCGGAGAGAACAGTTTATGCGGCAGAGGTGGTATGTTCTGCCTTTTGAAGATTACTGGCACACTTTCAGTTTTCACCTCTCTAATCGACTGGAAGCAGCCAGCCGATCACTAGTCCTCCATCCCCCTCGAGTCCTCCGATTGTCATGCCTAGGCCTTGCCACAAAGACTGCACCTTTATATGAAAAAAAAACTTAGAAAAATGCAGAGGTTAAAGAAAGCAATAAACTTTCTTTAAAAATTGTATGGAGATCTTCCGGAAAACTAAGCCATGAATTCGAGTTTGTACTAACCTAGCCCTCTGGAAGCCACATCTGTAGCAATCAGAATAGGAGCTTTTCCATGTTTGAATTCTGCAAAACAAGGTATATATATGATTATTAATCTAAGAAAAGTCCTAGGTGTGGGGAAGGGATCTTCATCTGAAATCCTTACCATTTAGAACCCAATCACGTTCCTGTTGACTCTTGTCACCATGAATACCCATGGCAGGCCACCTAAATTAGAGAGAAATTATATTAGTAGACTCACATATACAGTAACACCTGATAGATTTTAGTTTAACACCTAACCATTTTGGGGGTCACAGATCCCTCCAATTTCACCTGAAATAACATTGTAGTTTTACCTACAAGACGATTCTCATCCACAAAACTCAAATCCATCACTCCTGATCTAAGTTTGTCTTTCCCCTAAACTCAGCTCTAATACATCTGCCCCAATGGAAGAAAGCCCACATACCCGTCTCTCCTCATTTTTCTAGTAAGTTCATCACATCTTCTTTTGGTTTCAACAAAGACAATGGTTTTATTCTCCTTCTCACTCATGATCTCTTCCATCAGACGAATAAGTCTTGAAAGAAAAAAAAAAGGTGGTCAAATTTAAAAGTCCATGGTGTGACCATGAATTTATGGTCAATGTAAATAGCTACAAATAAAAAGGGAGACACCTGATTAGTAATCACTTATCAAGCAATTATACCCTTTGCCCTTAAATAAACCACAGGACACTTGAGTTCCATGTCCTACAGGAATTCTGTAGTGATAGCCAATTATCTGAATAAAGAAAGCAATAATTTTTAGAAAGACAGGCTAGTTTTAAATTAACATATCCAGGTTACACCCACCTGAAAGTCACTTTAAGATAACCTATAAAACAGGAACTGAATTTACACAGCCATTTGTTTTTATGTAACTTACTTTTCATCCTTTTCTACATCATGACACACGTCCACAATCTGAAGAATGTTGTGGTTTGCACTCAGTTCCAGTGCACCAATGTTTATATGAATATAGTCTTTCAGGAAATCTTCAGCAAGCTGTCTTACTTCTTTTGGCCAAGTTGCACTCCACATTAGGGTTTGCCTGTCAGGCTAAAGAATTTTGAATTAGAACAAACAAAAACCAATCTTGTATTCTAAGAATAAACTTAGAGCTAAGTTTGAAGAAATATATGTTTGGGCACTTACTCTTATCTGATCCACAATCTTTCTTATTTGGGGTTCGAAACCCATATCA